CACCTTGTTATCTCAGATTGTCCAGCATCTGCAGCTCCTACTATCTCCGAAACAATTACATACTGGAAAGGCTACTTATGCTTAGAGTGAATAAGTTGCCCATGTGATATTATAAGGTTCAGAACTTTAATAACTATTCATAGATTGAAAACAAAATCAACAAAAGATAAACTTACAAGTAAAGAAGCAGCAATAACTCTGTCCGAAATAAACTATTAAAGGACAAGGACAACCTTGAAAGGACAAAGGACAAGGAATTGAAAACAATTAGCCAGGTCTGGCAAAAGGAGTGGAGATTACACAGACAAAACTGCTTTGACAACTGCTTGATAAACTGGATGCTTTATTGCCACAAAGGACAATAACCGCCCTGCAGAAGAATTTAAGGAGTTAACTACAGGAAAGCTATGTCTTCGAACAGACAGTTAAGGCCAAAAATAATGATGAACAAAGAAGCTACTTCTGACAAAAAGGCAAGCTGCATACTTATAGCATTTTGGATGAAAGGACTTTAAGAAACATCAATATATCACCTCACAGACCTGAAGGAAAAAATCTGTACAAGAATCAAACACCAGAACTCCACCCCTAGCACAACTTCGAAGAACAAGGCTGTACAATGATCGAACCCCGGACACCTCCAGAGAAAGGCCACCATCGGTTGAAATCCTGGCCAGATTCCACCATTAATCAGGTAATAGCCAAGCTGGGTTGTGAGGCTTAACTTGCTTACTTGACGGTTCTTATTTTTGTTGCTATATGCAATAAAGTTTAAATCATTGTTTCATTACTTGATTGTCTGTGAGATTTCTTAATAAGTAACCAAATTAAAAGTAGTGTTTAGTGATTTACCCACAACAATTGGCATCCCTGGGTGGGCTTCAATAAGAATTGACTTTAAGTTGCTCTGAAGTCAAACTTACCAGCCTTGTTTTCTCAGAAATCCTGCCTGAACCCATTTTAAGAGGGTAGCTGCCTCGCATGGTGGCCAGGGACTCATGTGAGTGAATGGGGATTCAGGCAACAAATTTTCAGATTTAATTGGAACATTTAAATTTTTGTGTTATTTAATTTAGCTTTGGAAATTAGCTTTGAAATCATGTCAAACAATCAACCTGAATGGGCGAACTTGGTTAAGGAATACTTGAATAAGAAATTGCCAATGTGGGTACAGTATTGGGAAGCTTGGGATGTTACGAAACCCGGGGAACCAGATTATTTGTTAAAGTCAGTTGGAAGTCCATGGGAAAGTGGGTACCCAAAGAGGAAAGGCTGATGGAAATTTGTTGTCTTTTTGCATAAACACGGTGTGTGAAATAAAGCAGAGAAATGCTGAGATAAGTGAGTTGAAGTCCAAAGTTGAGGAATACAGTCAGAAAATGCAGAGCTAAAATAGAAATTTGATACCCCCAAGACTGTCAGTCAGGAAAGGGCTTATTTCCAGTTGGAAAACACAGAGTTAAAGGAAAAGGTTAAATCCCTAGAGATTGCCAATCAGGAAAAAATAGTTTACCTTTTAAATATCAAAGTCAACTTGAGACAGCAAACAAAAATGCCAAGAAGGCACAGAAACAAGTTTGAGAACGAGAAATACAGACCCAGGAACTGAAAAGTAAGTGTAAAGATCTCCAGCTTAAGCAACAAACGTAGAACGCTGATCATTCTA